TATTTTTTTATTGTGAACAAATTTTAAGTAATTAAGGCTGGGGTTAACATAATTGTATAAGTGTGTAGTTTACATATAATTTTTATTTAAAATTCTGTGGGAATTTTAAATAAAAAAACACACACACACATGTGTGTGTGTTTTGTGTGTATGTGTGTGTGTGTGTGTCATGTGTCATACTTAATTTTTTTCTTAATTTCTCTAGTTAATAATGAGACAGTCCCTTCCTTAGCTGTGTTTTTTCCATATTTTTACAATCGGTTGTTTGTTCTCATTGTGTTGTCTTCTAGATTTAAAAGATTAATTACATCGCCATCATAACATCATCATCGTCATCATAACATCATCATCGTCATCATAACATCATCATCGTCATCATAACATCATCATCGTCATCATAACATCATCATCGTCATCATAACATCATCATCGTCATCATAACATCATCATCGTCATCATAACATCGTCATCACAACATCCTCATCACAACAACATTATCATCATCACATCGCTACAAGCATCATAATCGTTACCAACCGATCAAAAAAAAACCAGCCTAATCAAAATAACCGGCCAATCAAAACAACCAGCCAATCAAAACAACCGACCCATCAAACCATCCGACCAATCAAAACAGTTTAATTGTTGTGGAGTGTACAACTACACGGATTGGTACGAGGTGTTCGATGATAAACCCCGAGTGCCCCGAGAATGTTGCGTACACAATGAAACTTGTGTTGAATTCAACAAGACTTCTGATTGGTTCCAGCAGGTTAGCTGATTGTTTGATTGGTTGGGCGGTTGTTTGATTAGTTGATTGGTTTCTTGGCTGACACATACACACACATACATGCAAACACACACACACATACAAACACACACACACACACATGAATATACAGGGCTGCTCTGAGGCGATTCAGAAAGAGCTCAGCTCTAATCTTCACCTAGTTGGAGTCGTCACCATACTGATCATCGTCTTGGAGGTTGGGAGCAACAACAATAATAATAATAATTATATATAGTTGTTATTATTTTTGTTGTTGTTGTTGCACACACATACTTACACACACATATACATACATAAATACATACACGCATACATACATGAAACATAAAAATAAAACATACATACATGCATACATACATACATACATACATACATACATACATACATACATACATACATACATACATACATACATACATACATACATACATACATACATACATACATATATTTACGTACATACATACACACTTAATTACATGCATTATTATGATTATTATCCTTGTTATTTCCCTCCCCTTCTATTAATCATAATTCTTAAATCACATGAAAACGCTTTTTTATTGTTTATCGTCACACCATCATCATCATCATCGCCGTTATCATCATCATCATCATGTGATCATCATCATCATGTGATCATCATCATCATCA